CCCAGGGCCCCATCCAATCTGGCTTTGAACACCTCCAGGGACGGGGCATCCACAACCTCCCTGGGCAGCCAGTTCCAGTACCTCACCACTCTCTCCGTAAAGAATTTCCCCCTTACATCCAACCTATATCTCCCTTCCCTCAGCTTAAAACCATTTCCCCTTGTCCTGCACCCGTGGATGCACCCCATCGGGTCCCATGGATTTATGAACATTGGTGTTGCCTAGGCGCTCTCGGACCGCCTCTTCCCTGACTAAAGGGAAGTCGCATCCCTGCAGGCCCTGACAACATTTCTATATATTTCTATACTGTTAATACTGATTTCCATAAGAAGCCTTATAGAGCAACAAAATGAGCAGAAGAGAATAATGAAAGGTTTTAACTGAAGATCCGGTAACTTTGCAGAACATACATAATCTTTGGTTCTTTGGATTCTAGTTTGCCTGGGGTGGGACAATTTTTCACATTTTCAGATGGTCTGCTTGAAAACTAGATGACTATAATTTGTTGAGATTTTTGTTTTGGTTTGGTTTTTGGTTTTTCTTTTTTTTGAATGAGGATGCAATAGCATGGTTCTGTATATCCTGAGTGTCCAAATCATTTTTTATCCACCAAATGTGAGCTTGCTGGCATGTAAATCCTGCAGCCACAAACAGTGAAGGCCTGTCACACAAGCACACTGTCTCACAAGAAAATATTTTAAATAGTGATGGCTCTAAAAAGAAATTCTGATGATAAAATTTTGATGATGCACATCATTTTTTGGTTATACCTTTATGTGCAAGCCTGTGTTAAACTGCTGTTCCATTCAACTACAAACACCAACTCAATGCCAACGAAGTAGACACTGTTTACCCACTTTCTTGCATTGTTAGTTATTATGAGTTTCCACCAAATTGTATAACAGATTACTTCTTTTTACATTTGATTGGAAAATCAAGGAAAAATAATGGAAAATTCGAATATGGAGAGATATGATTGGGGTGGAATACTTGATGAGGTGCGAAATAAATGTCTTCTTCAGAAGTTTAGGTGACAGCTGCTGGGCAACTGGCCCAGTTCCATAGGACTGGTTTTCCTCAGAAAAAAACTGGCTAGTTACATCAGCAGGATCTGAAGATCATCCTTTTCATTACTGGAAACCTGTGGCTTCCTTGTTCTGCTCTGGTGCGTTTTACAAAATGCACATATTTGCAGCAGTAAAGCAGCATGCCCATATTTATTTAAATCTTTGAAGTTTAATCAATGTATTTAAATATTCAGGAAAACATTAAAAACACAGAAATGGCAGCACTGGCCAGAACCAGCAAGTTCCTTCTTGAGTTCTGAGGACAGCTGCATTTTAATTGAGCTTTATATCGAGCTTTATGTCAACTATTTCTTTCTCAGAAGAGAAGTAGTTCCCTTCTTCTATCCTCTCTCTCACTGCGCTATTCTTCTGTGGCTAGTCCCAGGTCTGCATCTCTTGGCAGGCTAAAATCTTCACAGAATCACAGGGGTTGGAATGGACCTCAAGATATCATCAAGTCCAGCCCCCCTGCTACAGCAGATACCCTACAGTAGGTCACTCAGGTAGGCACCCTGCCAGGCCTTGGATATCTCCATAGAAGGAGACTTCACAACCTCTCAGGGCAACCTGTTACAGTGCTCCATCACCCTTACCGTACAGAAGGTCTTCCATATATTAGTATGGAACTTCCTATGTTCATCTTTTAGGCCATTACTCCTCGTTTTCCAAGTTTAATTATTGGCAGCTTATCTTGTTGTGGCAATTGTGGAGCACTGTCCTTCAGTTTAAATAGCAGCTTCACTCCTCTGGCTGAGTTGAGAACACACACGATTGTTGGAAGCCACCACATTGCATCTCAGACCTCACCTCATCTCACCTGTGTGTCAGGCTTTGTTTGCTAGACTCAGCACAGGATTTCTACGCTCTGCATCCATATGAAGCCTGCTTCTGCTTGAGTTCTGACTGTTTCTTTCTTGAAAATAAATGACCGGGAGGTTACTCTCTAATTTGCTCTGTTTAATATTTTTGTTCTCTGCCCTACAGATCACCTTCATCCCCTGTCATTGACTACACAGCATTTTAAACTTCTTGCTTAGGTCAGCTCTGCCCAGCATTTAGGGCCAGAAGATAACCCTTCATTTGCTATGACAGAAGACACAAAAACTTGACCTACACCTTCTGTAGACAAGCTGCTGTCCTAATTAAAAAACAAAACAAAACAAAACAAAACAAAAACCCTGAAGTAAACAAGAGAAACCATTTCCAGAAAATGGAATAGCCCTGCTAGCCTGCAGTGCAAGAAGTAATCTACCGCTCTTCCAGAAATGTGTAGATAGACAAGTTAATATATAAAATATAAGTTGCAATATAATTGCAAGTTATATTCTCCACCCTGAGGAAAGACTCCAGTAGTAGTCTTTATTGCCCGTTACCATACCCACATGGAAAGACTACCTATTTTCCCTTTTGCTCACTGATTCACTTCAAATTCAGATCTGTCATGGCCTTCAGGCAGCAATATGGAAAACCAAAGTCAGGGTGTTGAGCTCTGGCTGGAATGAGGAACTGATTTGAGCCAGGAAGAAAGGCAAGAAGTGCAAAAGGAAACTCCTGTGTTTGCTGTCTATAGTTGCTGAAATTGTTGATACAAGATATGGACATTTAGGTTTCAATATAAACTATCGAATGATTCCATGGATTTTTACTGTTATTTCTGGCAAGGGCTATGTTTTGTGATGACTATATTTAATCTAGTCTGCATTTCTGGACTTGCAGACTGACTCCCTAGCACTTAGTGAATAAGGTCACAGCAGTGGAACACAAATATGAACTAAAATGTATTTACATGTTTTGCTGAAGCTGGGCAAACTCTGAGTGCCTGGCCAGTGGTCCTTTGCAGCAACTGAAGACATTAAAATAGGCAAGCAAGAAATCTTGGAGATCATGACCAAAGAAATGTGCACTTCTTCTACAGAGGTTTGCATGTCTTGCTCAGTAACAAGTGTACTCTTTGCCTGAAAATGGCCAGACTGAAACTACAGCTGCAAGTGCAGCGTTGCTGATAGACAAAGTGGTATCAGTCTACGCTAGTTTCATCTGTCAAGAAGGGTGAAACATGCCTGCAGGTTTGCAGCTGGATTCTCAAATACTGCTACTTCAGGGAATGCTCTAAAAAAGAAACTAGGAGAACCATTACTTTCCTGCTTCGTATCTGTCACAGGCCCAGCTAAATGAGCAGGTATCTTGCTCAAGGCTACGTGTGTGTACGCCATGAAGTTAGCCTTATTTTGTACATGGAGGGGGTAGTGGCCTTGAAGAAAGGCCACAAGGTTCTTAGGAATGATGAATGCTGAATGATGAATTCTTTTATTTTCTTTAGTGGAACTGTATGCTCTTGCTCATTGTCCAGTTCTCGAAAGGATCTGTATCCCCACCCGAGGCCTCTTGTCCCCTTGGAGAGAATCAACAGCATTTCCCAGCTGAGTATTGTCAGCTGACATGTTGAGGATGCAATCCTGCAGCCCACCTCTACAGAAACTCTGTACATAAGCTCAACACAGGAGGACACCCAGGGAACGGCTTTACAGTCCGAGTTTTAATTAGAGACCTCTTTGTAAGGACAGATGCGACATACAGAATCAAACTCCATAAGGCATGTAGGTTATAAAGTTGGTATGTTTATTATGGTGCTAGGTGCGAGGGTGATGACTCCTTCTAACTCGCACAACAAAACACGTTGGTTGCTTATTTATCATACAAAATCATACAGATGGATGACACAGCAGGTGGGTTGAGCTTGCTTAAACCGTTCCAAGATGTCATCATAATGTTCCAATTAGGTTGGGGAAATCATTATGATACGTTCCGCCTCTGCGCACATGCGTGTTGCTCTCTGGTGGTCACAGGCAGAGGTCTTCTCCAAGTTTTTCTCGCAAAGGCTTTCTGGTGGACTTTTCACCTTAGTCAATCACTAACTACAGACCCAGTTCTAACCAGCTAGGTTCCTGTTCTTTGTTTCACGACGTCCGTGCTCCCTGGTTCCTTCCATTGTTAAAGGGGTCTGTCTTGCATGACAGGAATGCGTGTCATAGCAACGTCACTGTACAAGAATTACATTTCAAATGGCCATGCAGGGCCAGCAGCAAAGTGCTGCGAGCCTGCTCCGTGCTGATGCTGCCTGCTGCCTTTGATGTCTCAGCATCTGTATTGTCCCAGCTGCCAGGGAGCGGACTGCCAGATAGACGTCATCTTGCAAAGGCTGAAGGGCTGCAACAGAAGGAAACAGAGCAGAGATGAAACCCACCGACCTGCAGAGAGCCACCAACATCCCCTCCTGACCCTACCAGCCCCACTCATTGTTCTTCCAGGCCCAGAGGAGCATGTGAGACTGAGGGATCAGTTGGAAGCCACTGCTCAGGAGTGCCCCACCTGCCGCAGGAATGCTCCCCTTCAGCATTTCCTTGCAGCAGGGCAAGGCACAGCTGCATGCTGCCCAGGCTCTGCCCCCCTGCCCCAGCCCCAGCACATGCAGCACTGCCCTCACTCACCACTGCAGATTTCATTCAGCAGTTCCTCATTTTGATCCCTGGATTGCTGCACAGCCAGCCCTAGGGAAAGAGCTCCAGTCAGACCCCCGCTCCCCAGTACACTCCCCGGAGCACAGACTGCAGCCCAGCCAGCCCAGCTGCTTCCCTTCTCATGCTGCAGGCAGGGATGGTGCCCGAGGGGGGACCTGAGCAAGGCACCCATCGGAGCTACCAGTATGGGCAAGATGTATCTGGGGGCTGCAGGGCTGTGCCTTGCTACCAGGGCAGGGCCCAAAGAAGGACCCAGGGGTTGGGCTCACCGATGAATTTGACAGCCTCGCATCGCAAGGAGGCCTGAGAAGCCTTCAGGTATGGCAGGCTCTGCCACAGGTATCCTTCCACTCTCATCTTGTCCTGGTGCAGCTGGAGAAGAGCAGAAAGGCACATGGGGCTTGCAGAGCCTCCTCAGCTGCTGGTGCAACTCCTCCTGCCAGCATCCCCTTTCCCCCAGCAAAAAGGTGTGGGCTTTGTGATTGTCCTTACCAAACACATCCTGATCTCCTCTATGTTCTCCTCCCCGGCCCGGCACTTGAGCTCCTTCCACTTCAGGAATTTTGCACAAGCCATGAGGACTTCCCCAGATGCCTACAGAACAACAAATGCAGGGAGATGGCACCACACACACACTTCCCAGTGTTTGAGTTCTTGCTGAACTCACTCTCAATTCCCAGACCATCGCTGCCACTGCTGAGGTGTCAGCACACCCTTGCCTGCGTGCTGGTCAGGTCTATAATTCATACCTGTGCTACGCTCGGGGTCTCGTCACTCATCTGAAATAGCAGAGGCAGCAGGGCCCTGCACACGATCTTCTTCATGGTTCTCTTCTTACACCACAGCACAGCGTTCATCAAACCTTCAAAGAGGCGGATGGAGCCTTCTCGCACTTCACTTGATACCTGAGGGAGGAGAACAGGCGGACCTCAGCAACACACTCTCACTGTCCATTGTGAGCACAAGTGTAGGCGCGGCTGATGTGAAAGGAGATGCTTTGGAGTCACACTGCACAAAGGCGCTGTGCAGTCGTGCAAAGCAGTGCAACAGGTTTCCAGCATGGGGTGCCTTTGCCTCAGAGTGTTCCCCCAGCCACCCCACCAGGTCAAAGCAGAGCTCCTCAGGCCCCAGGACAAGCAGGAGACAGGGCTGGCCTTCAGCAATGCTTTTGGGGCGCTCACTGCCCACTCAGCCTGCAACTCCCTGCTATGGCACCTGGAGAGAACGCCTGGCACTTGTAGAAGAGGGAGCACTGGAGGATCTGAAAATAAGCCTTGGCAGGAGATGCTTGGCACAGCGGTCAGGCTGGGCCCCAGAACAGGGGCCTTGCATCACCAAGAACAATCAAGCTGCGCTGCCAGGGACAAGGCCTGCTGGGCTGCAGAGCCCAGAAGACATCTCATCCTCGAGAGCCAGAGAAGCAAAGAAAGGAGAAGGCCCTCCGGTCGAGCACTCACCCACGGAGCTCAGCTTCAATGCAGACTTACATGATTAAAAAGAGGCAGAATCTTCTCAGCCAGTTTCAGAGCAATGGGACTGGCATGCTTCCTCCCCAGATGGCGCATTACATTTCTGAAGATATTCAGCACCTTCAGAGTAATGGGTGTGTTGGCAAACTGCTGGGTCTCCATGAGATCTGGAAGCAAGGCCCGTATTTCTCTTGCCTGTACAAAACACACAATTTCCTTTTCATCAAGAGGATAGCAGCCACCCTGGCCTAAAAACTCGGATTATAGAGCACCAGCCACATGCTTTGCTTGTTGGCAGCTGCCATGGAAATGGCAGTGGCAGACTCTGGGCAGGCACGCACTTATAGTGATGGGGAAGGTAGGAGAAGAAGGGCAGGTGAGCAAGGACAGCATGCCCCCTGCTCAGCCACCCCATTTTCCAACAGGCCCCCAGGTAACCCATCTGGAAAGCTCCTGGAAATCTCCCCAGGCAGCCTCCAGGCCCCACCATGGCCATCACCCCAACTCCTGAGCCTCAGGCAAGGCCAAGGCACAATGTTGCCCACCGCCCCAGTGCCAGGCTGCCCACAGGAGGGCTTCATTTGGCTAGGTTCTGCTCACCGTCTCAGGTCTCTCGGACAGCAGCACAATGCCTCTGAGCACCAGCCAGAGCAGTGGCAGGCTTTCAATCTTCAGAAGACCCTGGAGGAGTGCTGGCTTACACAGCTCTTTCAGGATCTCTTCAGTAGGGTGCACCATCTGAAACAAAGGCAGCTGTGAGAACCAGGCAGAGGCAGCAGGACTCCCTGCACCCTGCAGCTCCTGGCTCCTCTTGCAGCACAGGGCTGGGCACTGGGGAGACACAGCCTGGCCTGGGGCAGCAGCACCTTTGGAAGGCCTCACCATCCCTCTGCGCCCCAGGCCTAGCATTGTGCAGGATGACTCTCTGGCCTACCCCATCTGCCCTCTGACCTTTAGAAGCCTTTGAGGAGCACCTGACCAGCAGGAGCTGGCGCAAAAGAGGCACCAGCCACGGGTGGCCACAGGCACTAAAGCCTGCTCAGCCTGCATGGAGGCAATGGCTCTCCCCAGCCCCAGCCGTGGCTCTGACTCTGCAACAGTCCTGTCTCAGGTTTCCAGTCTGGGGAGGAAGGCTGGGGGAGGCAGGGAGCTGGGCAAGGAAAGCCCAGAAGGAGAGCACTGATGCCTTGTCCAGTAACTCACAGTCAAGTGAAGGAGGCCCAACTCCGCTGTGGTGACGTTAAATATCTCGCTCAGCTGTTTGTCCTGGAGAACATTGCTCAGTTCATCCAAGATCCTCTCTGAAGTTTCCAGCATGGGAAGCATGCTGTTCCAAATGTCCAGGGTAATGCTGCAAACAAAGAGCAATGCTGTGTGAGCAGGTCTGCCTCAGCCATAGTGCTGTGGCTCAGGCAGGCCCAGCAGGCCCCAGGCTGTGCTGCAGCCCGGGCTTGCCACTGCGCGTGCTTGGGGAGGCCTGGGGGCCCGGCTCAGCTCCAGGCTGAGATGGTCTTCCCCAAAGGGCAGGGCAGGAGCCTGATGGGAGGCTCTGGGCTGCCATTGTCAACACTGGCTGCTGCAGCCCTGAGCGGCCCATTGGCACTGGAAAGCACAGTGGCATGGAGGGTCTGCTCCTCGGGAGTGTCCTGCAGCTTTCCTTGGCGCTGGCAGCAGGAGCGTCTCTGAGTCCCACTCTTCTCATGGAACAAACGTGCGGGGCTGTCTGGACTGGTGTACCTGTCGCACTGGGGAAGGTCAATCAAAACACTCCTCAGGACATCTCTGGGGAACTGGATGGTCAGAATGTCAAGCAGTGAGAAGAGTGTCTTTTGAGGTGATTCGCTATTCCTTTTCAGGCTTCTCTGGATGGACCCCAGAATCTCTGGCACCTGTTGCAAGAACACAGGGAGAATGTTGCTGTCACTACAACCGCTGCCAGCCAGCCATTGCTATTGCTACCCTTCCCATTGCTCTTTGCTGGTTTAAAATGGCTTCAGGTCCCAAACAGCAGTGGAGGGAAGAGCATATTGTTGGCATGGCTGATGCAAAAGTAGATGCTTCGGAGTCACATTCTGCACAAAAGTGCTGTGCAGTCGTGCAAAGCAGTGCAACAAGTTTCCAGCACAGGGTGCCTGTGCCTCAGAGTGCTCCCCCAGCCACCCCACCAGGTCAGAGCAGAGCTTCCCAGGCACCAAACCACACGTGAGAAAGGGCTGGCCCTCAGCAATGCCTTCGAGGCACTCGCTGCCTGTTTGGCTTCCACATTTCTGCTGTGGCGCCTGTTGAGAGAGTGCCTGCTGCTGGTAGAAAAGGGAGCACTGGAGGGTCTGAAAGTAAGCCTTGGAAGAAGATGTTTGGCAGAGTGGCCAGGCTGAGCCCCAACACAGAGGTCTCACATCACCGAGA